AGCAAAATTTCCTCTACAGGAGTGCACACTTGTAACCCCAGAATATCCCATATGCACCAGTGGTGACCCTGGTGTGCACTTACTGTGGGGTCACAGCAAAAATAGCTCCCCACTTGGGTGTGTGCACAGATTTGTACTTGCATTTATTGGATGTGTTTTTTGTACTCATTTATTGTAATGCTTTATTTGTATTGTGCTTTGTTTTGTGTTGACTGTGATTCTTGTTGATTCTTAATAAACCAGAAAAAACAAGGTACAGTATATGTAATTAAGGTTCCCCGTTAATCACATATTCCCAGCTGCAAACTAGCCAATTGTCTTGTGTGATAATTTATCACTATTCTCACTGTGCTGCAATGATTTATTTTGTTTGGAGCCCTTGGGTCCTCAACATTCAGTCACTTCCTTGCAAACACATCAAGTTAATTTTATTTCTCTTCTCTTTCCTGTTTTGAAAGAAATACCAGTACATTAAACCTATCTATTTAATGTAAAATTTGAAGGGACCAGCATGAAAAGTTCACAGTAGTGAGGTTTTGATTTAGGGATGCTTCATGTCAGGGAAATGAGCATTTTTGTGTGGGGAAAATGGAGAAATTGCAGGAAATTTTAAATGGTGATATTCTGGGCCTAAAATTGCTTCATAAATGAATTGACTGGATGATGCTGAACAAGCATTTAGGGGTTCATTTGCCCAATGAATCTCACACTTACTTTCAAAAGACATAACAAGGTACTTTTCATTGCTAATCTCATTCTTGTCAATAAAATATTCGCCAAAATGCCTCTAGAAAATTCCAGTTATGGAGGTTTGAGAGGAAAAGCCTTTGAGTTGGAGAGATTTTCAATGCATTTCATTTTTTCTGAGAGAATTCAGACAGGGACATGGAAAAAATTGTATTTATTGGAGGTTTGAGTTATCAAGTTCTGTCTATCTTGTAATGGAGATTCATTCCGTGAAAGCATTATCCAATAAAATTTCGATGCAAAAAAATTATTTGATTCAACATATTTTCTAATTCAAGATGAAGACGTAGTGAAAGAGGTACCTTACGATTATATACCACGCTGAATAGTTGAATGAAGTAAATAATCACGTAGCAGGATATAATAGTCTCATGGGAAACTTTGGTCCTATTTCTAAGGCAAACCGACTCATAAAATGTGAAATTTTATTCATAATGTCTCATTACGAAATTTTCAAGCTTTTCTAGGTGAAGCTCAGATTCTAAGACAGCTTTTTCAGCACCAGATTCTCAACTTCTGCATGACAGCTAATATCTGTACTGCATTCAGTGAAGTAAACCAAACAGCGGATTTGGTTTCCGAGCTGATTTTTTTTCAAATACAGTACAGTATGTCGAAAGAATTGTCCCATGAATTATTCACAGCTTACAACACCTCTTCTTTCATATTTTCAAACGAGCTTGCTTTAAACATTCAAATGAAAATATTGATGCCAAAAAATCTACTCTTAATACGATTGAAAAGTAAGGGTAACACGAATAATGAACCATTAATCATAACAACGAGGGATGAACAAGACAGATGACAATTTTATAACCAAACTGTATAACACTTTCTACAGTACAGTGCTGTAAAGTTTAACGACTTCGTTGACCTCGAGCATCCAATTTTTTTCGATTGGAAAACGTCAAGTGTTTTCTAAGACAAGTTCAGCAGGATTAAAAAAAGCCTCACTGCTGATGTTTGGCAATGACTCGGCAAATACTGTACTATGCTGCATAATTAATTATTTCTGGACGTTTCCATGTTCAAGCTATTCCCGTTGAGCAAAGGACAAGATCAGCATTTTAATTCCACGTGGGATGAATTTTACCATTTTGTAAGCCCACTACTACTGTATACGCAAGTGAAGAAAAAAGGCTTTAAAAATAAAAATTTACAAATAACGCCTATACAGTATTGTGTTGTACACACTTTCCCCATCAATTCGAGTCAAATGCGTGGAACAAGTTTAAAAAAATAAAGTTCATATACTGTATATATAGGGATGAATTGACATTTTAGACTTTTCATGAATTTATGAGATTTATGTCGAAGGCATTTAAAATTAAGAAAAGTTGCTGTAGCTTGTACAGTGAGACCCAAATATGAAGACATAATTGGTGCATCAAGACTTCAGGAGTATCCTTAAGTCAAAATGTCCCTAAGCTGAGTCTCATATTCCCTTATAGACTTATATTCCATAATTTTTAATTGGTGTTCTATTGACAAAATACTCACCATAATTCCATGAAAATAAAAATTGTCTCCCAATTGAAACTGATTCAATCAATATATTCTTATACAAATACGGAAATTTGGGGAATTGAACGCTGATACCTCTGTGCAGTACATAGAAATGTTGCCATTCTCTGTAAAAAAAAATAAAATTCAAGTGAAAAAGAGAGAAGGAAGTCCCTCTATGCTGGAGGTAATTGTTTTTAAATTATGGTAAATTGGTGAGAGAAATGCTCAAGAAATTTTCTTGCATAAATTTTAGGGTTGGAAATATCTGTTTCTTGCAATTTGGCCTGAATCTTATTTGCAATTTTATCACAAAATGTCTTCATGTTGAGTCAGTGTCCTCATGTCAGGCCTTTTTTCTTAATTTTTTATGGCAAAATAAGTGTCCCTATGTCAAATTGTTGGCATGGTGAGGTGTCCGCATCTGGGGATCTTACTGTACTTGTGAATGACAATCAGCATGCTAAAATAATGTTCAATAATAAGCCTAGAAGACCCCAGGGTTTCTGACCTATCGGACAATCGTTTTGTGGTACCTTTATTGAGTTCTATTTCACATGTAATTTTCTAGAAATGATGGAAAAGCGTTCATATCTTGGATCACTGTCCAGATGTCTGGGCTTGGGTTTTTCTTTAAAGTTGTAAGTGCCCCTGCAAGTCAAATTATCTGTATGTTAGGGTCATCTGTATGTTGGGGTCCCACGCTGTGTTCAACAAACGTTTACTCAGGTCGCCATATAATATTGTAGCAAGATTCTACTGAATTGTTTTCCACGAGATTTTTAAATTTGCTTTCAATGGAGAAAAGTGAGTCTTTACAGGCTGTTTACTTCAAGATAAGCCGGAATTTAAAGGTATATATAGGTTCCCGATCCCTTGCCCGGAAGGCACCTCGTCCGTCTGTCCGTATTTATTCTGCCTCGCGCATGGGCTTTACTGGGCCCGCGAGGAAGCGACCAGATAACGGCATTGGGTTTTAGTGCTCGGTCGTCGCACCTCAAAAAAAAAAAAAAAGAAAACACATCCAAGTCAATTCACACGCAGAGAGCCACTTTTTATTTATTTTTTTTTTGAATGCGTGGAGCAGTTAATGATATTCAAACATTTCCTTTCCTCCTTGCATTCCGTCGTGTTCTGTTTAAAATAATTTCTTTTTATTTTTCTGTCTTTCTTGAGGTCACTTTTTACCCTGGGCTGAATGACATGCAAAGTGAACAAGCACGGGGCTCATGGGGGTACTGCGAAGTACTGATTCACTGATAGTATAAATTACCGATGCATGTACTGACTGCATTTGATTCCATGAACGGAAGAAGTTAATTGTAGAGAAAAATCCACCTGTGCGTACAGTGCAATATTTTGCAGTACAGCTACTAACGGACAATGTGTTTATACCTGCATAGTATACAGAATTGATTGAATAATGCTGGTAAGTCAGAGGCCTACGTTAATCAAATTTTTTGTTAATCCTTGAAAAAGTAATTCCCTTTAGCCAAAAACAATATGCTGAACCTCTTCTGTCCTTAACTTGAAAGGTTTCGAGCCCAAAACGTAATTATTCTAGTTTTCAAATCATTTATTCAATCGGACGAACATTTCAGAACACCTGTTCAAGAAAACGCTCCAAAACTGCGAAGTACTTCACAGTACTGTATATCTTCAAGCTACCCACAAGGGATTACGAATCTTCCTGCATGTACGTACGTAAGGAATCTATTAGGAATGAACTGCTTTAAATAATTTCATCATGATTAATTTCCATCGTTAAAATACCCAAATTCCTCAACTTGAAAACGTTTAATACCCTCGAATTCTCTTATCATTGTTTCTTATACATCACATGCGAGAATACATTCCATGTTTATAGTGACACCTGCACAACAGTTTCATAAGCTTGACGAAATGAGTTTATGAAACATTTTTCCAGGTGTAGGTATAATTACTACTGTTACGTTTGCAATGTGGTGCTAATCGAAGGTAAACTCACGCCGCAGAAGAATACAGTACAATAAAAATGCAATGAGAATAAAAAGAATCTGAATACCATACACACTTTTGCCCAACCCCATTTCCATTATAAAATGTTTCAACGACGAACTTTTAAACCCTTTCTTCAAGCCAGAAATTTCATACAAAAATTGGACCACACGAAAACATTCGCTCAATGTGTCAGGTGCTGGCCTCGTATTTAAAATATAGTTTTTTCTTTAGACGAAATTGAAACCCATTCGGATACGTAGCGAACAACCTTCACTCGAGTTCTCGGCACATTTTTGATGTAAAAAACAAACAAACATTTGAACTTTGTATTCCATGTCCAAAAATGAAAGATAACAATTTTCAAGTTGATTGCATTCATCAAAATGACAAAATTGCATCAATGGTAAACCAAATGAGCCTGACAAAATTGACTGAAGAAAGGCCTTCATTAAGTTAGATAAATCCTGGAAATTGTTCTTAATTATTCAGATTTTCAATGTTTCAGGTGCTGGCCTCGCATTAAAATTAGTATTTTCTTTAAACGAAATTGAAAGCCGTTCGGGTACATAGCAAACCTTCACTTGAGTTTTTGGCACATTTTCGAAGCAAAAATATATTCGAACTTCATATTCCACGTCTAAGAATGAAAGATAACAATTTTCAAAATGAATGCAATCATCAAAATGACGAAATTTCATAATTGGTAAATCAAGTGAACCTGACAAAATTGACTGAAGAAAGACCGTCATGAAGTTGGATAAACGCCGAAAATGTTTCTCAATAATACAGATTTGAAACACTACGATAAGAATAATATTTCCGTCGAAGGTTCTGTACATCAGAATGAGTCGTCATCCGCTGGTTCAGGGAGCTAAAAACTCTTCCAGGTTAGTCTCAAAATACCCCAATACATGTAGAAAATTAGTGCTTAATCCCCTAATACGTGGCACGAGAAAGCAAATCCTCGGCAAACGATGGCAGAATGCGTGCTTCCGAGCAGCAGCAGCGACGTCAACAATCATCACCGGGCAGACAAATTGCTGGAGAAGCTGGGCTTCATTCGGGGTGGGCGAGTGACGAGACGCATGCAAAACGTCGTCGACGGTGTCGTTTCCGAGACTAGAACCCGACGAGGAGTGTCGAGTCCGAATGAGCAATTAGCTGAAGTGCTGGCTGACGTCGACTTCTCGACGCGACGTGCGCAACAGCGGAGAACTGTTCTGGCTAAACTCGGACTCCGAGGATCCGGGAATGACGAGTTAGTACTACAGTACTGTATTTAGTTTATGCTGGGGATACTGCTGATACTTAGTTTGGGAATTCTTCTGGGTTAGTATGGTTGTTTCATGTTGTGTATAGGATGACCATTACTTCAAGCTCAGCTCACCTGTTTGACCTGTATACAGTAATTTACAGGTGGTACCCCACAATTCGACCTCCCATAATTTGACGGTTGAATTTGCTGGGAGATTGACTCTCAATTGGACCTCTGCCTTGCAATATATTCAGTTTAACCAGTTTAATTATAGCTCAGTATAATTAAGCTGGTTGAAAACCCCTGATGCACAGAATTGCTCTGGAGCTACATGAAATGTCAAATGCCAGGCAAAAAAAAAAAAAAAACCTGCCATTTGACATTCTTACTTTTTGACCAATTCACAGTTAAATCCTAGTCCAGCAATGGATTAGTGTAAAATTGCGCGGTGTACCTATGTGTAAGAAACACACAATTTAGCACCTGGTGGTATTTTTTTTGTCTTGGTTACATGGAGCCCCATCTTCAGCCTGCGTTATCCAATCATATTCTGAGGCCTCGAATAGGTGTCGCTCCATTATCTGACGCCTTCTCGGCGAATTTCACGTTCTATATCGTTATTTTACGTATGTTTGACTAAGGATTGAGTCTTACGTCACGTTAATAGGTATACTGTAATTAAGAATGAGGATCCTCATCAGTCATTATAGATCGTTGAAGAGGTTGTAGTGACATCTACATGAAAAACAAAAACAAAATATAATGGGTTTGGGCTCCAATCTCTCAATCATTGTAAACCAGCTCAGTATCATTTAACTGGTTGAAAACCCCCGATGCACGGAATCGCATGCTTGATGAATTAGTAAGTTTCAAATAAATGCTGCATTTTTATGTCTTTGAGGTCATCAGGTTGGGGTTGGTTCGATCATGTTATTATTTTATCTCAGTTCGTGCATTGCTTGCACGAGTCACGAATGAAAACAGTCGTCGATTTTCCTTTTCAAATGTTGCTGGGGCATGAAAAAAAGGACCCCTTGCAGAATTGAACCGACCTGACCTTCATCGAAAATAAAATCGCACCGTAATCGAAATTTCGCTGATGCTATAAAAGTGAAAAATTCTTTTCAATCATTTTCACACGATCTCTATATTTCCCCCCTGAATTTAGTGAAGAAGGAAGCTGTGCTAACAAGAAACCAGGCGAAGACTTGAAGCCACCGAAGCCATCCAAAGTTGGCCAGTCTGTGAGGGACAAACTGAGAGCAAAATTCAATTGTGCACCAGATGAGGAAGACGAGGAATGCTTCAAGCCCATGCAAAGCACTCGGATTGACAATGTTGTGCGATCAGGAGTTTCCACTGCAGCCACTGTTGACCTGAGGACTCTGATGAGCAGCAAAATCGGTGGATCTGCTTCTTCCGGAGGCGACTTCGATCACTTCAGGTATATAGGTTTCAAGTATTTAAAAAAAAAATTTCCATGATACTTGATTTTTCTTTGATAGTTAGGGTTTTTCAAACTTTTATGAGAATTAGTGCTTTCATTTTTCTCAGTCGTCACTCGTCAGTTCTTCGTATTGTATGGCTTGCTATTGGGGTAAATGTGGCTATATTAAATGACTCAGGCATAAGAATCATCATACTGTAATCCGACACGTACATCATACTGTACACACCCTGTAATTTTGCCATGGTATGCAGTACTTCATTTTAATTTCCCTAAGAGTCAAGAGCCAAGAATTTAAGATAACGTTAAAGTGAAGTAGTTCAGCAGTCAACTTACTTTATTTCCATTCTTGCAATGCAGTAGAACATTCTTTTCCATGATTGTCATACTTATTGTCATGCTTTGAAGATGTAAATTAGCACTTCAAAATCATATATAATGAACCCCCTCACAACAGACATGCAGTGCAACACATTTTTGCACAACAGACTGGTTCTGGAGGCAGTTTTCCCTCCCATGCAATGGACTAAATCCACCTGGAGACTTCTGTTGGTTTAAAAATATTGGAGCGGTAAAAAGTGAAAAAAAAATTTTTTTGATATTCGAATTTGCATAACAGACTTTTGAAACAATAACCTAGTCTGTTGCACAAATTAAGTCAGTTATGTGGGGGGTTGACTACAGAAGCCTCCAATATGGTTAAACCTTACGTTCTCCCTACTGAAAATGTGAGTGTATAGCTGATATTCATTGATTAAGTTACAAGCATTATGTAATGCTTGTCAGTGTTCACAAGAGGTCAACAAAATAATTGAAATCCTCCCCCCCTCATGCATCCCTTTGATGCACCCATGCCTATAAGAAATCAATATTAAAACAAAATGTGTTCCAGGAGTCCTGGACTCACAAGTGCATCAATAATAAATTGGCATAAATTTTTCTGAGAATGTAACCAATCACAGCACATGGCAATTACTGATCACAAATTAAAGCACAAGGTATTCACACAAGCCTGTTCCCAGATAATTTTAATTGATTGGACAATTTAGAGAGAATCTTAGAGGAGAATTCATTCAAAGCTAACACTTGATCCTGGTCCTGAAGATTTGGGTGAGTGCCTTTTATTATCAATGGGGGAATTCCGATTTTTCTCACATTTTTATTCTTATTGTGTGGAATTTTGGGCTAAGAAAATGTGTTCTGGTGATTCAGTCATCAATGTATTACCACTTTAGTACAATAATTGCCAATCAAATATTGCATTTCAGAGCATTTTGTGAGAACATGGGTCAATTTTTTGCGCAATAGTCATCTGAAGTTAGCATTAGCTCAGGTCTTATTCAACCTGTTTTTTATGCAAGTGACACTAAAAAACATGAAGTCCTTCACCCTTCTGCAACAAAGCTTGATTTCTTTTAGATTTTGGTTGCACTCAAGAATGGCATTTGAAAAACCATGGCAGTACATATGTGCAGGGCAAATTTGTGAAAAAATCCCCAACAAATTCTACTCAGGAATGAAAAAATTATATTTTCAAGGCTAAATTTTTCCTCCTGGCCTTTTCTTGTTCTCCCATTCAAAGATTGAATTTAAGCTTGAAAGCCAGGAGCCCAGATTAGAGATCAATACACAGAAAAAGTTCAACTTGGGACTTTCCCAGCATTTCTTTATCCCAAGATGTTGCCAACGTTGCCCTTCCCCACCTGGCAGGGGTTACATAACCTATTGGATTAAAATCAAGTGCAGGCCCAGCCAAAAATAAGTCCCACTATTTCCTGAATGGGATGGAAAGCAGGCTGCTGCTGTCCATGGGTTAATCTATGTTCAAGAATTCGAGGATCGTTTCCATCATGTGCAAACATTTTTCGAAATGTTCTTGTTGCAGGAATGTGTTCTACCTGGTGGAGAGCGTCCCAAAATTTGTCGAGGAATACAACTTCGTTATGCAAACCCTGTTCCACTGTCCCAAGATGCCTTCTACTCAGTTCTACGAAGGACTCGTCCGGTTTGGAATCGAGGACAAGGTGCAGTATTTCCGCATGTCTGACAAGGAGCGGGCCACAATTTGGGATGGCTGGACTGAAGAAGGGCCCAAGAAACCCAGAAGACGCGCCGAAATTGACTTTTTCAACCTCGTCACTGATCCTTCAGTCACTAATGGAGCAGTGTTGAAAATGCCGCACCCGGAAAACAGAGTCGTGTTGCGAGGAGCGAATCTAATCATTGATTCCAGAAACACTGAACATCATTTCTATGCTCGAGTTTTCTCCAGAGGCTCCGGGAAAAACAATGTTGTCAACAATATTGTATTCAACAAGGTGAGTTTATATTCACAGTCGGATTTCTTCAAGTTGAACTCGTAGAGAAACCTTCAACTTTTTATTTTTTACCACGTTTTTATGAACTCACTTTCTTGTCTGTCAAATTTTGAAACTCAAATTTCACTCACTTCCCGACTAGCTATCAAGCTGAAACTTTCAGGATAGCCTAGAAACTGATGACAATGCAATCTTTTGTGAAAAAATAAATTTTAAGAATATTTTTTAAAAAGAATAAAATAATTATAGTAGATTAAAAAATTAATCTAAAAAACCACGTTTTCAAAAAGCAAAAAATAACCTTAAACGTGGTGCGCATGGAGATTGTTGGGAAGAAGTGAAATACAAATGAAATAGATGCGCACCACATTTAAGGTTATTTTTTGCTTTTTGAAAACGTGGTTTTTTAGATTAATTTTTTAATCTACTATAATTATTTGCTGATTTTGTTGCCGCAAAGGAGACAGGGTTGAAAGAAAAATTTCAGAAGGTCTCAGATCATGAATGATTAATTTCAACGCTGTGTGAAACTCTTGAGTTGAAAATAGATTATCTTCGAGGAAAATTTGCATTTAAATTTTATTTGTCTTCATTTTTTAATTTTTAATTTATGGTTGTAGCACATCATTTTATTCAAGTTTTGATCAAAGTTCTCACTACCCCTTCCAAATTGCTCCAGTCAAACCTCTCTTAGTCAAATTTGGGAGGATCAAGGAAATTTTGTCTTGAGGAATTTTTGATTTTGGGAAACTAGCAATTCTTGCTGGAAAACAGCAATAACGGGAAGGTAATATTGGTGATATTCTGAACCTTGAACTGTTCAATATTTGAGTTGACAGGATGCTGTACTTTTAAACAAGAGGACCATTTTTAATTAAACGCTCTCTTTTCTTTTGAAAAAATAACTTTCCATTTTTGTGCTATTCTTCGTCCTTCCCAGGGCTTCAGAATAAGAGCCCAGAGGCTTTTCAAAACTTAAGTTTTTGACGTTTGAAGAGAATGAATTCCATTTTGAGAGGTTTCTAGTGTTCTTGAGGGAATTCAGACAGGGATTAACAAAAATTGACATAAGCAAGCTCTGACTTGAAGATATTTGACTTGGCAATGCCAAGCTGTGCCAAATGATTCGCGCACGTTCAACAGAATGAAACTCACAGAAGAATGAATTCCATTTTCGTAGGTCTATATTGTTTTTGAAGGAATTCAGACAGAGATTAAACATACTGTAAATTTTGAATGAGGAAGCTCTGACTTGGGGTTTGACTTAGCAATGCCAAACTGCGCAAAAAGATACGCACAGCTAGGTTTGACGTTTCTGACATCCCAGTTAGATATATAGGCTTAAATTTTCCGTGTTGACCTTAGAATGAGGTCATTATCCTTAAGCACTCCAAATTGCTAGCTTGACCTTTTTTCAATACATTTTCCACACTAACTTCTCATGCTTTGTATCTTTTTTTCAAGTTGACAAAACGAGTCGAAATGGACTCAGATGTGAGGAAAACGCATTTGCCTGACCGAGGACCGAATGAAAACACAGAATTTTGTGATGATGAACTTCCACCACTCTCAGTTGAAGATGAAGATCCATTGGCTGCTTTCCGCTGTCCAGGTTCTAAGCGACCCCAATCATTAATTTGTAATTACTAGGACACAGCAAACAATTTCTGTCGATCTTATTTTAATCCTCGTTTCATTGTTATCCTTCTTTCGAATCTTTCCTTTTTTAATCCTGCTGATATTATCCATTTTTCAGTCATTCTGCGAAAGTCTTTTCAGAGAATTCGTGGTATTCTGATGAAATTGTTCATTGCCAGGAATGAAGGCTCATATTTCATTTTCTCTGTGACGTCGTCACTGCTGGCTATTGTGCTTTTGCAAGGAAATTTATCATTCAGGTTGCTTTTCTTTACAAATTTCTGCACAATTAATGATGCTTGGCGCTGTTTGACAATGAAGAAGTGTTGAGAAATAACCTGCTAATTTATGTCCAGGACGATGCATAAAAAATTTCTCTTCAGATCCGCAAATTTTCTTATGAAAGTTTCATTGGAAAAGAGCAGAGTATATTTTTATGCAATTTATATACAAATAAGGCTTGCAAAATTTTGTAAAGATACCGTTTTTGTAAATTCATCATCTTCCAATAATTTGTTTTCAAAAAATCTTAACTTTGCCAAGCTGAAATTAAATCTGCAGAAAATTCAATCTTAGGTTTTTGAAGGTCAACTGCTCAATGAAAAATCGCATTTCAGGTGGACTCTCTCTGGAACAAAACTCAAGTGACCAGAAAAAAATGCGTTGTAGAGAAACTTTTGCTGTAGAGAACGCCATATTCAGGCAGGATATCAAACCCCCAGGCAAGGACACCATTAGCCTGGGGAAAGTTACTACTTACCAACCTCAATTCTCTTCACTGTGAATACTGACCCATATGTAGATACCAGGATTTCCCAGTCCAGAACCCATCTGAATGTTGCATGAGCAACAGCTTGCTTGGGGATCCTTGTGGATGTTATTCAGGCCTCCAACGCTGCAGTACAAATGTTTACCAGCATAGGCTGAATTAACTTTGTGAAGAAATTACTTATTACCAGTGATCAGTCTTATGAACTTTATACTTACTGAAGAAAGTCTTAATACATGACTAGTGAACCTTTCTTGGAGAATCATATAATCATATTGAGTGACAATGAATTGTCACTCATCAAATTGCATATTCCTGAAGGCAAGCAAAATTCTCTACAATGGTCTTTTCTTTGTAGCAAATATTTTGTGGCTCCATTGGGTTAAATCCCCATTTTACTGGTGTATTCTCTCTAAAGCAAAACTCAAGGGAGCAGAAAAAAACTTTGTTTTTAGACCAGAACAGTCCATATTTACAAGGTAAGTAGAGATATGAAGATGTGTAAAACATATTTGCAGTAGCTATGGCATTTCCATCCTTAAGTAAATTTCGCATGCATTTTTTGAAAGTCTGAAAAGGTTGAAATGGCCCATAAAAAGGCTTAAATTTCCTATCAGATATTTGATTTTACAAATTTATTATGTTATATAACCCGATTTTAAGCCTTTCCGATGGGAAATTCCGCCTTTCCGGGTTAATCTACCGCACCCAAATCTCGCGAATATTTTAGTAAAGGGCCAATCTTTGAATGATTCAGTTCCGAAACTCAAACTGATGAGCCATAATATAATGAAACGTATGCATTATCTTGCAAAAATTCAGGACCTCTTGGCACAGATTGATGGAATTATTTGCTCGCCTCAAAGTTCGTCGAACACGGTTATTCACTTGCTCAAATTCGCGTCTGGTTCCTAAATACTGAATGACAAATTTTCTTTCCCGGAGGATACTCTGTAAAATGCATGGATGCCCTCATTTGATGGGAAATGCATTACTTGGCAGAGAGGTAAGCATTGATTTGTTCATCAAACAATTTTCCGAAACCCGCATGCATTTAGTATACTGTACTCGAACTTCACCTGTCATTATTCAATGATGGCCGTTCATAATTAATCCCGATGCATATCACTGCCGAATTATGCCGATCAATAAATGCCAGAAAAAGTTTCAGACGCCTGAGTTGTGATATAAACCTATAAAATAATAATGAGGAATAATTACAGGAATAGCCGAATAAGTGACACCCATCGTAAACGATGGTCGGGGCTCTTCAAACTGAGGTTCAGAAATGTTCGTCTTATTTTTTTTTAACAGAGCAACACAACTGTTGAAGGATGTAAGGGATACTTCCATATGGATCTATATTCAGGTCAGAAATGTCCGTAACATTTTCCAGCCAGTTCTCGAAGTTTATTCTCTACAAAATTTTCTCTGCAGACTTATGAGGTATTTCACAGACGCTGCTTGGCCTATTATGAACAATTTTGGCGTAGAATTAAAATTATCAATTTTTAAATGATGTGAAACCCGAATATAAAATATACTAGACGCACAAAAATTCAGAAAATTCAACTTACGGACATTTAAAGGCAAAAATATGCTCAACACCTGGGAAGTTAATGTCTCAACAGTTGCAGAACACGTTGTCAACAATTTCAGAGCGATGAAAATATTTTTAAAAATTTTGGAATACCTCGAAGCAATCGCGTTTGTTACCTGTAAATATAGAATATACTGTAAAATACAATATTTGTTCTTGTCCTTCTGCCTTCAGGACTCCCTTTCGAATCAAATGGCAGATTTTGCGTTACTTTATTTTTGCACAATTATTTTCCATGTTTTAAATGCAAATGCGTTCATTTCAGAAAGTTATTAGCATGACATTTAATGTGAGCATACAATTTTAGTAATTCTGGCCATTTTAAGCACCAACCGGATTAACGTAAATTCAATCATTTTTCCGTACTGAAAAGCAAATATTCATTAATTTTTTCTTTGTATATCTTGAAGTGAAGATTGATTTTCAAGTTGTAACTCAAAACTTTCTGAAACTGATCCGGTTTTGGCATGGAAACGTTTCATGACAGCGGTGCGATTTTTGAAACGATTTGTTTTCTTGAGTCACTTTTTCTATTCACCAAGAAATAATGTGTGCATTTTTGATCATACGAATTTGTTTTAAGCTGCGACCCGCCTTATCTGAGTCATGTTCTACATGCAGGTACGTACATATGGAACAATTCAAGAATGTTCAATGCAATTCTGATCTTGTGATGACAAGTTCAATGCCAGTTAGAAAAAAAAAACGAGGTCTACTCCCCCACAAAATCGATCCCAACAATGACCCAAGTCAGCACATACACACATCAGTGCATATGTGTGTGTGTGTGTTTGCAGAGTGGCAAAAGAACTACAGTATACAGTATACGAATAACAAAAGCAGCATTTTTCCTTTGCCAAGTTAATATATGCCGGCTTTCGACTTTCGTCTCCGAGCCCGTCTGAATTATAAATGCCCTGCATGGCCACTGAATGCCACCAGGGTTAAAGATTCATGCTTTCTGCGGGTTCAAGGGAAAGAGAAAAAAACTGTGCGGCCCTCCTGCAATATTCCTTGCAGCAAAGGGACCCGCGACTGATGCAAAATTCCAGTTCCTCCCCCCATGGGTTGCCATATAAGTATATCGTCCGTCGGTGACACGCATGCATTCAGTCAGTCGGGTTCGTGCTGCAGGGAATGTCACTTTGTGTTTCGCTGACTAAAAGTCGCGCGACACGATAATTATCCTGAGCTTGAAAGACAGAGAGAAAACACGTTTCTAATTGCTGCTCAGGTGAAAAGTCTTCGCCACTGCCGCGAAAATGCAGTAATGGGCCCCGAGATGCGGATGTACAGTGAGACCCTGAGATGCGGACATAATTGGTGCATTAAGAGTGTCCTTAAGTCAAAATGTCCCTAAGTTGAGTCTCATTTTCCCTTGGACTTACAATGTATAATTTTAATTGGTGTTTTATGTACAAAATAATCACTTTGATTACATTAAAAAAAACATTTTCTCCCAATTTAAACTTGACTCAATCAGTATATTTCAACAGCATATGGACATCTGGGAAATTGCATACTAATACCTCTGTACAGTACATAGAGATTTTGGCATTCTTTGTAAAAATAACATTCAATAAGTGAAAAAGAGAGAAGGAAGTCCCTCTATGCTGGAGGTAATTTTTTTAAATTAGCTAAATGGATGGTAATTTGGTGAGAGAAATGCTCCAGAACTTTTCTTACATACATTTTAGGGTTGGAAATATCTGTTTCTTATAATTTGGGCTGAAATGTATTTGCAATTTTACCACTAAATGTCCATATGTTGAGTCATTGTCCTCGTGTCTGGCCTTTTATATTACTTTTTTCTGGGAAAATAAGTGTCCCCATGTCAAATTGTCTGCAGGTTGAGGTGTCCGCATGTGGGGGTCTCACTGTATATCACAAATTTCACAATATTGACCGCTCACCAAATGAAGGTTGGAATTTTGAAAATCAAATGTAAATCATAGGAAAATTATGATTATATTGCAACAATATAGTATGCTTTAACAAGATTATTTGCCTCATGCGAACAGTTCCGATACGCACAAACAGTAGTATGATTGTATGTCGGCTCAAGCCAACATACTCCTTAGAAAACTATTGTACTTGAACACTTTTGTATACTGGCGGATATATCGATAAGGAAATTCGGGAAAAACGGTATCACTATAGCGAAATTCGCGATAATACCTCCATGTTTTTATCATGGTAACAGGCATGTCATATACTATTTTATCTTCTGCTGGACTTCAGGACCCGCAGAAATTCTCAGATAACGGAAATGTACGTTTTGGCCCATACAAATGTGACAGTAAAATTGCTTCGTGCAGTATTAATCCCATACCCTCGAGTTCCAGATTGAACAACAACTTGAATGATTTAAATTGTTTTTGTTATGTAACTGACGTACTATATTATGATTGATTCCCTGAGCCTCCCGGCAAAAAAAAATGACAGCAAAACGCGAGTCCTGTTCATCTCTTATTCGAATTGTACGCAGAGATTAATAGATCAATTATTCCTTCTGAGATTGAAAACAAATTCCCATGAATCAATTAATCTCAGAGTTTTTTTTAATGATCAAAAGTTTGAGTGATTTTCGGCTGAGTTGATCAAAAAGTGAAGCATAACTTTTTTGTGCACTCTAAACTTCATGTCATCAAACTTACTTTGAATCCTTGGGGATCATTGCTTGAAATTATATTGAATCATTTCTCATTACCTTATTACCGTATTTACTTGAGTACCCCGCGCCCTTGAGTAAGGCGTGCACAGGAGTTTTTCAGTTCAAAATTTGGCTAAAATTGTATCCCTGAGTAAGACCCGCACCCCATTTTGAGGGACTCTAA